CAAGAGTGTCCCACAAGAGTGTCCCACAAGAGTGTCCCACAAGAGTGACCCACAAGAGTGTCCTACAAGAGTGTCTCACACAAGAGAGTGTCCCGTAAGAGTGACCCACAAGAGTGTCCTATAAGAGTGTCCTACAAAAGTGCTTCGTAAGAGTGACTCACAAGAGTGTCCTACAAGAGTGTCCCACAAGAGTGTCCTACAAGAGCGTCCCGCAAGAGTGTCCTACAAGAGTGTCCCAAAACTGTGCCCCGCAAGAGCTTCCTACAAGAGTGACCCACAAGAGTGTCCCACAAGAGTGTCCCACAAGAGTGTCCTGTGAGAGTGTTCCACAAGAGTGTCCTACAAGAGTGACCCACAAGAGTTTCCTACAAGAGTATCCCACAAGAGTGTCCCACAAGAGTGTCTCACAAGAGTGTCCCACAAGAGTGTCATTTGGACATATGTAGTTTTTCGAACGTGTTTGCATTCGGGTTCGTGGGTTCCATCTTTTTTCAGCACCCTGAAAGGCAGAGCGTAGAGTGTTCATCATTATACTCAGGAGTGCCTGGAATCCGGATTATTGCCCCCAACACACCGATGTCCATGAGAACGATTCAGTTTGTGCTCCTGCGAGGTCGTGTTCTTTAAAGAAACCTTTTTGAACATACCCTTTGGGCCGCTGCATGTGCAGCCCAGGAAGCGCAAGAAGGACGTTGCAGCTATCTGCGCAGAGGTGGACATTCTTTGCGCGGCCCGATCTCCACACATTGTTCAGCTTGTGGATGTTCATCAGAAAGGCTTGGTCTTTGAGTTGGGGGAAGCTCTGCCGACCATGGTCGCGCCTGTCCGGCTGAAGGTGATCATGGAGCACTGCTGTCGAGGTGCGAGGCTCAACAGTCGCACGCAGGCTCATTTGTCATTCCACATGCAAGACAAGGGTTCCCAAACACGTCCCCCAAATACAAGCGAGAACACCAGATGAGCAAGGAAGACCACTAAATTCACTGTATCCTTTATTAAACTCGTATCAAAAATGCAAAAAATATCAAAAAATCAACCATTTCAAGGGCTTCCCCGGTTTCCGGGCCCACTGGCAACTGCTGAGTATAGGGGGGCGACCGCGCTGCAAGGAGCGACCGCGCTTCAAGGAGCCCCCTGGAACAGAGACAAAATTGAAAAGGTACAGGTTCCAAACCTATATATAATCATTAGTAAACCCGCTATGAGAAAGCCCACCACCCCCAAATAATTAGTAACATTACAAAACCGCACCTTTGGAAACCGTGGGTCCGAAGTGCCAAGCTACAGGGGAGGGTCTAGATTTATAAGGTTACTGGCGCCACACCAATACTAAAAACAGATGCCCCCCCAAAAGCAGTCAGCTCTTCCTGTAATAAAAAGTAGTCAGCTGTTTTCAAGTTAATTCCTTGGTTGTCTAAAACCCTGCCCGCCAGCTGTTAAAGTCTTTCTATGCGAATGCGTGCCCCACTATGCAGCCGCCTGGTTGGAAGCCTGCTTGCCTATCTGGCACATGGTGGTTGCTAACTATTCTCTGTAACCATGTGATACAGAAATATTACTTTTGGGTGGCGTTACTTTATGATTAGCAACTCGAGGTTAGTACTACTACTTTACTACTACTACTACTACTACTATTATTATTACTTCTTTCGTCCTTCGTTCTTCTCGTTCTTCCTCTGGTTCTTCTCAGCTCTG